ACCTGTGCTGAAGAGAAAGCCTCCTGTGATTGACTGTGGCTATAGGACACCTCTCTGCCCAGGAGCAGGGGTGAAGCAGGGTGCTGGAGTAAGGCTGATTGAGATGCAGGACAGCCCCCGTGATTTCCTGTACAGGGATCTTCTGGCAAGTGAGAGTGTGGTGTTCTGAGTCATGACTCCTCATGAGATATTTCTTGACACTTGATCTACTCGACTTCTTTTGCTTCACCTCTGCCTATTCCTCCCCCACCCCGCCACCCCATCCAATGTCCTTGCCTGCAAAGGAGTGTTGTTTGGTAGCCATTTGCTTCCAACTGTGTACCTTGGCAGCAATGTCAAGCAATGTGAGCTTGTACTAGGAGGCTTTATAACTGAGAATAAAGCATACTCTCCTTACGTGTCATTCAAGGCCCTCCATGGCCTGTTTCATGCTTTTTCATTGTCATAGTTAGTAACACACATGGGCTTATACTTTCTTTCCAGTTGACATAGAAGTGTACCAAATAAGGAGTAAAAGTCTTCCTGAATCCTATTCTTCAGAAGAAATGACTGTTTTTTTCAGTTTTTCTAAATTCTTTTATTAGTTATAGATTTGATCAGTAAACCAATATTTCTGTTTTTTTTAACTTATCAGTATTAACAACAGGATCAACTGACTTCTCATGTAAGATGTAAAGAATTTAGGATATGGCTGAGAATTTGGAATTATAAGACTGGGAATTTATAATAACTGTGATTAATATGCTAAGGAATCTAATGGAAAAAGTGGGCATTGTGCAAGGGCAGATGAACACTATCAGTAGAGAGATAGAGATTCTAAGAAAAAGGAAATGCTAAAAAGAAAAACATTGTAACATAAGTGAAGAATACCCTTGATGGGCTCATCAGTAGACTAGCCAACCGCATTTCAAAGGATCAGTGAGCCTCAAGATAAGTTACTAGAAACTTCCCAAACTGAAAAGCAAAGTGAAAGAAAGACTGAAAAAATGGAACAGAGTGTTCAAGAGCTGTGGGATGATTACAAAAGGGATAGAATACATAGAATGGGGATATTAAAAAGAGAAGGAAAGGAACAGAAGATCTGTTTGAAGTAATAATGGCCAAGAGCTTTTCAAGTTATTTGCAGGCACCAAACCACAGATTCAGGTAGCTCAGAGAACCTGAACTAGGATAAATAATAATAATTTTTTAAGACCCTTATACCTAGATATTCAATTTCTGGGGCCAGAGAAACCACTCTATGTGATACTGTCATGGTGGATGCATGATATTCTGCATTTGTCAAATCCATTGAGTTATACAAGGAACCCTAAGTAAACTATGGACTTCACTTTATAATAATGTATCTGTATTGGTACATCAATTTTAATAAGTGTGGCACATTAATAGAAGGTGTTACTACTGGGTATTTACCCCAAAGATACAAAAGTAGGGATCCGAAGGGGTACGTGCACCCCGATGTTTATAGCAGCAATGTCCACAATAGCCAAACAGTGGAAAGAGCCAAGATGTCCATCGACAGATGACTGGATAAAGAAGATGTGGTATATATATACAATGGAATATTATGCAGCCATCAAAAGGAATGAGATCTTGCCATTTGCAACGACGTGGATGGAACTGGAGGGTATTATGTTGAGTGAAATAAGTCAAAAAGAGAAAGACATGTATCATATGATCTCACTGATATGAGGAATTCTTAATCGCAAGAAACAAACTGAGTGTTGTTGGAGTGGGGGGTGGGGTGGGAGGGATGGGGTGACTGGGTGATAGACACTGGGGAGGGTATGTGCTCTGGTAAGCGCTGTGAATTGTGCAAGACTGTTGAATCTCAGATCTGTACCTCTGAAACAAATAATGCAATATATGTTAAGAAAAAAAAAAGAAGAAGAAGGTAGCAGGAGGGGAAGAATGAAGCGGGGGAAATCGGAGGGGTAGACGAATCATGAGAGACGATGGACTCTGAAAAACAAACTGAGGGTTCTAGAGGGGAGGGGGGTGGGAGGATGGGTTAGCCTGGTGATGGGTATTAAAGAGGGCATGTTCTGCATGGAGCACTGGGTGTTATGCACAAACAATGAATCATGGAACACTTCATCTAAAACTAATGATGTAATGTATGGGGATTAACATAAGAATAAAAAAAAAGAAATTAGAGATCTGGGCTGGGGTCAAAGCTGTGAGTGACGGGTTAGGTAAAGGGGGTTTGAAGCCCTCGGGTTCGATGAGCTTGCCAAGGAGAGAATGACTCTAGCATGATGAGAGAGCTACGAGATCAGCTCTGAGGGGTTCCAGAATTTAGGCACAATGGGGAAGAATTAGAAGTTTCAACGGAGGCAGACAGACAGTGGCCACGGTGTTGGGAGCACCATGATAGGATTGTGGCCAGAGAAAGAGAGTGTTTGTGTTTCCCATGGGAGACATTTTTAAATTGGGACTATGTTAACACCAGGATGACTGACAGTCACATCAGGCCAGCAAATGGCATTCCCCAAGATTCCTGGAGGTTCTACACTAGGAAGAGAAGAGGACATTATCCGGATAGCACACCCTTCCCTTGGACAACAGAATTACTTGGGAGAGAGAGGAAGTTTGAAACAGATAAAGATGGTTATGCAAGGTCATTTTGTGTAATAAGTTACAAAAATGGAACCATTAAAGGATATTCTATTAAGATCTGTAAATAAAACTAACGTGAGTTGGCCTGGGGAAAAAAAAAAAAATAGAAGGTGTTAGTAATAGGAGAAACTGTGGGGGAGGGCAACGGGGATGGGGAGAGGGAGTATGTGGGAACTCTCTGTACTTTCTGTGAAATTTTTCCATAAATCTAAAAGTGCTCTAGAATACAAAATTCATTAAAAATGAATAGGCAAACCACCAACTGGATGAATATTTATAATACACATAACTAAGGAAAGACTCATTCAGCATAAATAGAAACTCCTACAAATAAATAACCAAAAAGGGAAACACTTAATAAAAATGGGCAAAACTTAGACACTTCAAAAAACCACAAGTAGCCAATAAGCACATGGAAAGATGCCAATTTCATAAGTCATTTTGGAAATGCAAATTAAAACACAATGAGATGCCACTTTATGCTCATTAGAATGACTAAAATTCGAGAGATGGGCGATGTTTGTTAAGAAGGATTTGGGGCAACTGGCACTTCCAGACATTGCTGGTGGGGATGCGCAATAACACAATCTCTTTAGAAAAGAGCTTGGAAATTTCTCAGAGTTGAGCATACATCTTTCTGTGACCCAGCAATATCACTTCAGGTTATTTATCCGAGAGGCATAAAAACACATATCCAGAAAAAGACTTGAATAAGAATGTTCACAGTAGCTTTATTCACAATAACCAGGAATGGAACACTACACAGATACCTGTCAATATGAAAATAAATGGTGGTATACCTGTACAATAAAATTGTACTCAGCTTTATCAAAAGGACAAGTTGCTGACATATGCAATGCCATGGCCTGGGTAAATCCTAAAAATATTATGCTGAGTGATACAAGGTAGGAACAGAAGAAGAAGAGTACATTGAATCATCCTAAATATATGAACTCAAAGGTCAGGAGAAACTCATCTTTGGTGATAGAAGTAGGAATGATAATTGTCTCTAGGGCAGGAGGAATGTCCGGGAGGGACATGAGGGAACGTTCGGAGGTGATGAAAATGTGTTGTGCTTTGCTTGGGGTTTGAGTCACCTGGGTGTATCATTGCTATAACTCACTGCAGCGTATGCTTAGGATCTGTGCCAACACTCTCTCCCAATTGTACTTCAATTAAAGAACTAAAAAATTATTAGACGATGCAACATTTAAACTTAACATGTTATTTTTACAGAACATGTCACTTTAGAAGTATTTTTCTGTAATCGGATTAATAAAATGAATGTTGTGGGCTCTGTGGAATAAAAAGTAAATCTGACGAAGATCCTGTCCTCAGAGAACACAGAGTCTAGTAAGACCCATTGGAAATGTGCCATAAAGGGGGCGCCTGGGTGGTTCAGTTGGTTAAGCGTCTGCCTTTGGCTCAGGTCAGGATCCCAGGGTCCTGGGATCAAACCCCACATACCCCACATCGGGCTCCCTGCTCAACGGGGAATCTGCTTCTCCCTCTGCCCCTCCCCGCCAGCTCGTGCTCTTTCTCTTGCTCTGCTCTGTCTCTCAAATACATAAATAAAATCTCAAAAAAAAAAAAAAAAAAAAAAAAGGAAATGTGCCATGAAGGATCAGGCAGCTCCAGAGAGGGAGAGCCAGAGCAAAGGCACAGGGGCGGGGAATGAGAAGGGAAGTACTTGGGGTTCCACTAGAGGGCGGGGGACAGGAAGTCACAGCAAGACGACCTACCTCAAACCTTAAGCCTGCTTTGACGTCGATTTGTCCAGTTACAAAACTCAACTTCGTGCTTGCACAAACTGACAATGGTGAAAGAAAGAAACAGATGGTGACTCAAATCTGGTAAATGGACGTTTAGCACAGCCTTGGTGTAAAAATTCATCATTTATTCATACATTGTCATTTATTCAATATACATTCATTAAGCTAGGGAGATATTCTAGGGCCTTCCAAAATCAAAGAAGATTGCTCTTTGGGGCTAGACTGCACTTTAATTCTTTTAATTTTATGGAGACAGATGGCAGGAGGGTGACCACAGAAACTTGTGAAGGACTGTTCTTCTAGTCCCTCCTGAGTGCAGTGACCAAAGAGAATTTCGACATTTCCTGCACCGTGTTCAGCCTCCGCTGAAGGTGGGATTCTTCAGAAGGGGACCTGAGAGTTGGCAAAGCTCGGGATGGTATGAAGGCCCTGGGTGAGGCCGTCCTTGAGGCACTGCCCTTCAGTGTTCTCCTGACAGGCGCTGTCTCAGTCCTCACGAGGAGGAGCATTATCTCAACTTTAAGCCTTATCTTAAAACCTAAAGGTTTTAAGATCAGGGCGCTCAGAGGCTGAGAGAAGTCAAGAAAACCTCCCAAACTGATGGGCAGAAAGTTGGCTCTCAAAGCCACATTTGTCTGACTCAGGACACCAGACTGCTTCCTGCCATCTCCAGAGTTCCCTGAGGAAGGCTGGCTTCACTCTCACCCCTCCTGATATGTCCTGCAGAGCCCTCTGGAGGACCATCTTGAGGCTCTTGTGTCGCTGGGGCCACCGCTGTCTACAGGAGCCAACGAAGAAGTAAATGATGGGGTTGACAAAGCTGTTGATGCAGGACAGGACAATCGGAGCCAGATTAAGATGCCCGAGGACTGTATCAGAACTCGTCCGAATCCAGCGTAAGAGGACCAGTGAATGCCGAAGGTCAGGCCGCAGAGGAGGAAGACCAGCACTGTGAGCACCACGGTTGCGTACAGCCTGGTCACCTGCAGCCGATGGGGGCCGCACAGCAATCGGGTCAGCAGAGCCAGGCTGGACCCAGAGAGAAGCACAAATAAGAAAATCAGACAGGTGGCAGCAGTGAAATCAAATGCCCGACACCAACCATCCTCAAAATCTCGTAACAGGAGGCCACAGTACTTCCCTTCCAGGATGCTCAGCAGCAGGGACCGGGCCCAGAGCAGGGCACACATCCCAGTTGACGTGTGTCTTGGGCGGTGGCAGCGGTACCAGATGGGACACAGGACTGACAGGCAGTGCTCTGTGCTAATGACACGGGAGGATGCTCAGGCTTGCGATGTAGGCAAAGGTCCACACGATGATGAAAAACCTGGGGATGGAAAGGGGCACGGAATGGAAGTTGACGAGTGCCTTCAGAGAATAGACAACCTGGAAGGAGAGGAAGAGGAAGTCGGCTCCTGCCAGGTTGAGGATGTAGACGGAGAAGGTGTTCCTCTGCATGCAGAAGCCCAGGATCCAGAGCACGATCAGGTTTCCTACCAGCCCACTGAGGGCAAAGGTGAGGCTCAGCAAGGCCAGGATCAGGATCTCCACGGGGAAAGTTGGCAGAAAGGCCTGGTCACTTCCATTCACTGGTGTGAGTGTGCTCTCCCAGGCTGGGGCAGTGGGATCGATGCTCAGAAACCCTCCACTGGTATTCCTGGGAACACAAACACGACTTGAGCATCTGCTGTATGCTCACTGACTCTCAGGGCCACTCTGCTACGTGGGGATTATGGTCTCCATGTTACAGAGGAGGGAAAAGGCGGTTTGCAGAGATTAAGATACTTGCTGCGGACGCCTGGGTGGCTCAGTCAGTTAAGCATCTGCCTTCAGCTCAGGTCATGATCCCAGGGTCCTGGGATCGAATCCCCCATCGGACTCTTTGCTCAGCAGGGAAGCCTGCTTCTCCCTTTGCCTGCAGCTCCCTCTGCTTGTGCTCTGTCTCTGTCTCTCTCTCTCAAATAAATAAATAAAATCTTTAAAAAAAGGAAAAAGATACTTGCTGAACGCCACACTGCTTTAGAGTTCTGGAACCTGGATTCAGACCAGTTCTCTCTGATCTCTAAACCCTGGACTCTCTCTACTGCAACATGGACCTTCTACTGCCATGGGAATATTCTGCGGTTCAAACACCTCTTCTAAGCATGTCAGGTCTGCAGCAGGTAGGAGGAGACAAATCTGGACAGGTTATGTGTGGTGAGAACAGGACTCTGAGCTTGGCATGCCTTCTGCCTGGGACTGAGATTTCCTCTTAGGGGCCAGGAAGTTGGAAGACCCAGGCATGACCTGTGGACAATCTCAGTGACTGAAGGAGGTCTATCCATCAGAAAGGAGATCATGGTATAGGATCATGAAGAGAATGTGACCTCTTGCAATGACAGGTATGAGGATGGCCAAGCTTCTTGGCCAGAAATGGCCCAGCATGTCGGCTTTATAAGGACAGGAAATACTTTCCTCCTGGCCATTAGTGTGTCCCCAGTACCCCACTCTGTTGTGGGGGACACAGTCTAAGTCACTCTTACAATGGATTTCTTCCTAGAGCAGTCAAAATCATAAACTTAAAATATTTATAAATATGTGTGTACCCCACCTTAAAAAAACAAACAAAAAAACCCTCATAAAACTATGTTCCTTTCTCAAAGCATTTATTTTTTTTTAAGATTTTATTTATTTATTTGAGAAAGAGAGAGAGAGAGAGAGCACAAGCAGGGGGGAGGGGCAAAGGTAGAGGCAGACTCCACTGAGCAGGGGGGATGCGGGGCTCCATGCCAGGACTTTGGGATCAGTGACCTGAGCTGAAGGCAGACCCTTAACCGACTGAACCACTCAGGCACCCCCATTCTCAAGGAGATAATTCTGAAGAAATGACAGCAGATAGAGAGGTGCAGATAGTCAAACGAACATCCTGAGCAGTACCATGAGAAATTGATCCGATCACACAGAGAAAGTCCCAGGAAATACCAACTGTGAGGAGACCATAAGAAGAGATGGATTTTGGGGCGCCTGGGTGGCTCAGTCAGTTAAGCGTCTGCCTTCGGCTCAGGCCACGATCTCAGGGTCCTGGGATCGAGCCCCGCATTGGGCTCCCTGCTCAGCAGGGAGTCTGCTTCTCCCTCCATCCTTCCCCCCACTCGTTCTCTCTCTCTCTTTCTCAAATAAATAAATAACATCTTTAAAAAAAAAAAGAAGAGATGGATTTTCTCCATTTGCCATGAAATCTCATTTCCAACTTCTCTACCCTTCTCTGCGTCCTCACCATCCTCTCATTCCCCTCTCTCTGGCTCCTGGTTGCTTTCGGTGAAAGGGAGACACGGAATCTGCGGGTGGGAGGAGGATGATTGGGCATTTGTGACTTTCTGGCTGTCTCTCTCTGCCAGGCTGTGAGTTAGCAGTGGACGTGTTACTCTGTCTAAGGACTCCTCCCCCGTCTGATGGCCCTTTCCTACAGCCACGGTCCTCCTGAGTTCTGGTAACTCCTTCCTTTTCCCCTTCAGCCTTGTCTCTGAAGAACAGAAATTCTTCAAAAACAGAAGAGACGCTCCCTAGAAGCATGCAGGGTGGGGCTCGGCAGGGTGTGGCCCGCTCCCCAGACCCACACGGAGCCACGGAAGGGGCCACGGGCTCCCAAGGATGGCACCGGGAGGTTCTGGTTCAGGAATTCTGGTAAGTTCCCTTCTTACAAAACAAGGATGTGGACAAAGTGCCTGGTAGACTTGAGCAAACAAACACGGGCTAGGAGACCCTGGGCGGGGCACACTGGCCCTGGAATCGCCCAGATTCCGAGTCAAAGGCTTTGCAAACCTTGAGTTCCACAGGTAACTCCTAGAAAACTTCTAGAAACATGTCTCCACTTCCCAGAACCGCGGATTTGACACAGCTCAGTTTTGGGAGGGTGAGGGCTGCCGCTGGGCAGAAGGGAGGCTGCACACGGGGATGGTTCTGGGCCCTGCTATTGGTCGATCCCCTTCTGATGGTGCCAGGACCCGGCCAGGGCTTCTCAGGGTGCAAGTATTCTAAAGACCTGGTCCCCGGCCCGAACTGCTTGGCATTCTTGGCACAGAAAACCTTGCACACCTCTGTAGGACAGTTGCCTCAGCCCCTCACGCCCGTACCCCGTCCAGGCGGTGGCTGTAGGAAGGGCAATGTCAAGGGAAGGTCTGCAGAGTCCCACGAAGGCGGCTCTCACTGCCCAAGGAACCGTGGGACTTGGCTGTTGCAGAAGGGTCTTCAGCAGAATCCGTTATAGACTTCCCTTAGCTCTGCCCATTCCTGTGTAACCGGTCCTTTCATTACTCTCCTCAATTACCCCATTAGTTTGTGCCCTACATTTTCTGCTTGAACAATGTCGGATACAAGGATGCAAAGGGGAAAAAACCACCTTTGGATAGCAAGCAAATCTGTGAAACCTGATGTTATTAAAACAATTTAGCGGGCGCCTGGGTGGCTCAGTTGGTTGGGCGACTGCCTTCGGCTCAGGTCATGATCCTGGAGTCCCGGGATCGAGTCCCGCATTGAGCTCCCTGCTCGGCAGGGAGTCTGCTTCTCCCTCTGACCCTCCCCCCTCTCATGTGCTCTCTCTCATTCTCTCTCTCTCAAATAAATAAATAAAAAATCTTTAAAACAAAAAAAAAATTTAGCTTTGGAATGTCTTGCCAGATGCCATCTTGCTCCCTGAATTAAAATTAGCAAAATACATCTCTCCATAGTTGCAGATTTGAACGTTTGGAGAGAAAAAGAGAGTATAAGGAGATAGGAAAGAAGCCAAAAGAGCCTGGTGGACCCCGTGTGGCTCTCCCACTGTCCAAGTTACCAGCACCCAAAGCCTCCATGAGGAAGCTTCGTGTGTCCTGATTTGCGGGGAGGTGCCCCTGGCTTCCGGTACGCCCTCCCTTAAGATGAATTCACAAGCATGCAGACATAGAAGAAGAAAACAAAACTGTCTTTTAAAGAAGATAGTTCTTGATCAAATTCTTACCAGAGCACCATTCTTCTTGCTGGGGGTAGAGAATAGAAAAGGAAGAGTTTTCCTGAGATTGAGAAACAGCGGAGAGTGCTTCTCTGCTCTCTGGATGGCAAGGGGTCTGAGGCAGCAGGCGTGAAATCTGGTGACCGCCTGAGGCTTATCAAGATGCTGGACAGCCCCTGTGATTTCCTGTGCAAAGGACACCGGCAAATGAGATAACGGAGATGTGTCAGGCAAGAAACTTCACGAGATGTTTCTCATTTGCCCTGACTCCAATCACCTATCTCGGCCTCTCCCCATCCTACCCCAGCCGGTCCCCGTCCCTGTGAGGAATGGCTGTCCTGGAGCCTTTTGCTGCCCTCGGTGAGCCTGGGCAGTAAACCATCCACCAAGTCGCATGAGCTTCCATAACTAAAGAATTGTTTGCTTGGCATTCAAGGCCCTGCATGACCTGGCTCACTTGATCTTTTTAAATTCAATCACGGAAGCAATGTATGCACATTAGTTCTATTTCAAATGACAGTGGAGTGTATAAAGTGAAACGTGAAGTCTCTCCTACTCTCATTTCCCAATAGCAACCAGTATATCCAGTTTCCATTCTTAATTCTTTTAGATGCTAATATTATGGCTTTGTATAATAAAACTATATTTCTGCTTTTGATTTGTCAAAAACAACAGCAGGGAATATCAAGTTCCCTTATAAAAGATAAGGAATGTGTTAGCACGCTGCACACATTGTCACCATTCTCCCTCTACATCACGATATTTGTTAGCTAGCTCATTTTTCAGATCGGCTAGAGACAGCTAATATTTTTGGCTGAAGCTCCTATGGCTTCTTCTCATGTGCCCATGCTGCGGCCAAATTGAGTTCTTGCCATTCCCTTTAAAAACTTAACTGTGAAGCATTTAAAACAATCAGAAAAATTTATTCACTCACTTATTCAGTGACCCAAAACTATAGGTTTGTTGTGAAGATTAATGGATTAATTATGTAACAGCTTAGAATAGGAACTCATATTAAGTCTTACATACTTGCTAATTCTTACCGTGATTTTTATTACTATCTCTTTCTGGGAGTCTAATTCAATTTACGTTAAAGTATCTTTTTCTGTGTTTCCATATCACTTAAGTTCTTTCTTATTTTCCATCTCTTTGTATGCTGGGCAGCTTTCTGGGTAATTTCTACAGATGCACCTTCTAGGATACTAGTCTCTTTTGCACTGTGTCTAATCTTCTGTTTAATCCATTCACTGAATTTTAAATTCACTTTTTACGGTATTAATTTCTAGTGGTTTTTTTTTTTAAGATTTATTTATTTGTCAGAGAGAGAGAGAGCACAAGCAGGGGGAGTGGCAGGCAGAGGGAGAAGCAGGCTCCCCGCTGAGCAGGAAGCCTGATGCCGGGCTTGATCCCAGGACCCTGGGTTCATGACCTGAGCCGAAGGCAGATGCTTAACGGACTGAGCCACCCAGGCATCCCGAGCTGCTCACTTTCCTTGGGACTTTATCTGTGGGAATCCTTTGAGGGCTGAATTATAGCCAAGCTCCTCCAGAGAGGTCTTTTGTTTTCTTTTGCTACTTGACTGGGGGACCTTCCCAGCATGGCTTTCATTTTATAGGATGTCCCCAGAAATCTCATCTATCATTTGAAGTGTTAGGACCACAACATGATACTGACTTGTGGCTACAAATTCTCAAGAGAGAGAATGTTTCTTCACCCAGAGCCAAGCTTGATCAAGCAATTTCTTGGTAGTTTATTTCTCACTAATGAGAAATACACGAAAGGTTTAGTCTTTGGAGGTCCCAGCTTTTCATGGGGACACTTCTCTTCGATTTCTGACATTTGGGTTGTCCCAGAATTCTATTTCTAGAAGCCATAATAGGAAATATGAATCTCCTTCTGAGAGCAAAAGGGATTCCATCAAAGGAAGTAACTTTATCAGCTCTGTGCTTCAGAAAAGTCCCTCAGGCTGCCGAGAGGAGAATATAGAGAATATAAATGAAAATATAAATCTCTAGTCATACTTCTACAATGGAAACAACTGCACAAATACTTTGGTCTATGCACACAAAATATCCAATATGCTGTTTTGTAATGTATAGTATATTTCCAATTTAATAATTATTAATTATAGAATCTGTTTGGTCTCAGTTCCTTCTCTGTAAAATGAGATGCTTTCCAGCAGTGATGAGTCTAAAACTAAGAAGTCCCTGGTGCCTGTGGAGGCCTCTCTCCCCGCCTGTGCCCTCCCCCACCCCCCTTGGACCTGTTCTCTACCAAAGAGAATGGAGATCTCAAATAGAGTTCTCTCCCAAGGCCAAGCTTGATCCCAAAGACTCTCATCTATCAGGTCCTTAATGGTTCCCAGAGGCTCCCCTTTCCATCCCTGTGATATACTTATCAGTCTAGGTGCCCTCCCCGGCCCCAAATTTTGTGTTTCGAATTCTTTTCATTAGAGTTGAGCATGCAGGGCAATGTCATTTAGAAAGTCCTTATAAAGAATAGTTTTGTTGTGTGGAAGAGTGTATGTGAAAGTGTATGTGTAGCTAATTTTACTATGTGAATTTGCAGTTATATTTTGGGAGAGTGTGGCTCATCCCTGTATCTGAACCTGTTCTCATTCTACTCCATGTGGGTATCACCAGCCGCTGAAAGCCAAGCACATGCAATGAAACCAAGCCCAGGGTGGGGGGTGGGGGTGCATCCTGATGGTATCATCTGAACTCTGAAACCCACTATGCCTGGAGCCAAGGTTTCTTGCTGAATCTCAGTTGTTTAAACCAGTAATATCTATTTTTGCTAAAATGAATTTAATTTGGACCTATCTTTTGCTCACACAGCCACAGATATGTCGATATGAAAACATTGATCACATAGTACTTTAAGCATCTGAGGACATATTTCTCTCCTATTGCACTGTGAGTGCTTTGAGAATAAGGACCATGTCTTTGAGTCCCAGTGCCTGGGACAGTGCCTGATCCAATGCTCAGGAAAAAAAAAAATTTTTTAAGTATATGCACTTGTATCCACAAGCAAGAGTGACTTAGCGATTGAATAAATGACTTGGAAAGTGAGGATGGGGAATTCCTTCTAGGCAGAGAATTTTAAGGCCTGTGAGAAACCCCTGGGCATAGCAGAACAAAACAAAATGGAGAATGAAGAATATTTGGCAGGGTAGTCTGCTTTAAAACTTAACACAGTATTTAAGAAGCCCAGTCCTTGTGGGAAATGGAACTCATCTGGAGTTGACTTAGATTCGTTTCTCAATGACCATGCAAGTCAGGGAGCGGTATTTTGAAGGAATGGGGGAGCAGGCCACTGTGACCTAGAGAATCACAGGGGAGTCCAGGAACGTGGAAGCAGAATAAACTGGAGCTAGGAGTGGGGACAGAAAAGTCGCTGGGTTACAGGAGTCACTGGAGAGTGGGCTCCACCGATCTCTTGTGTCTTCACAGCCCAGGCTGGAAGACAATGGCTGCGTCATCAGAATTATGGTTGACTTATGGTGGCCCAGCCAGGGGCTGCAGGAGGAAATGGATCAAGATTAACCTGAACTGGCTGGATGGAGGGAAGAACAGTCACAAGACTTCAGAACAGGAAAGAGAAGTCAATCTGGGGAGAGCAGGGGAGGACCGGAAGTAGGAGACTCCCTTGTGAGAGCGCTGTGCTTTTCTCATCCAGTTATGGTTGTTCATAGTCCTTGCAGAGGAAATCACACGGCTTCTCAGGCTCTTGATAACACCACATCAGGCAGCCTCGTCTACAGGGCTTTCCCTAGCCAGAGGACCAGGAGTTCATTTTAGAGTCAGGAGCTCCGGGAAGGACCTCCTACTTCAAGGCAGCTCGGAGCTGACTTTCTACTGGAAGTAGAGGAGAAGGAAAGTAAAGACTTACTGAATTCTTTTCTTTCCATTCCTTTGCCTTGTTAGGTCAAACTGCTCTTGCTTAGACAAGATCTAATTCCTCGGAAAGTCAGGGGATCATGGAGATAGGAGTTGTAGGGCTTCTAGCAGCTGTGAGGTCAGGGAAGCCTGCCGCCACCTTCATCTGACTGAGGAGAGCCAGCTTCTCCATCTGGTTCTTTGTTCCTTCAGATCTGCTGTCAGGGAACATAAAATATGGGCCTGGGATGCTTCTAGGAATAAAAAAGCTGGGGCGACCAATGCCCTAGTTTTCCTAGCTTATATTTCTTTTTCCTCTAAGAATCACTTAAGTTCATTCAACAAATATTTATTGAATGTCTTCTTTGTGCGAGGCACTGTTGCAGGCCCTGGGGATAAGGAGTGAACATCGTAAAAATCGGGTAAAGGGATAGAAATGTGACATTCCACGTGACACCACTAGGTGGTAGTCAATGATTGTTGTGGGGATCATGTAACCCTTGGCTGGCCAGCAGGGGGCCCAGTCAGTGAAATTTGGGAAGAGGTCCCACTTAAAGTGGGAGAGTGAAGGGGAGCCATGTTGTTTCCGGATGGTTATTCATGGCTGGCAGTGTAGGGCAGTGTCTGTGAAATCAAACTCTGGGATGGTCCTTCCTGGTCTCAAATCCTGGTTCTAACAGGATTACTAATTAACTGAACCTTACTAACAGCTAAATGGCTTAATCTCACTAACCCTCGGGTACCTCAGTGAAATGGTGATGTCTGCTTATAGAGGTGTTGTGAGGTGCTCAAAGACACAAGTGGGTGTTTAGCGTGGGGTAAAAGCTCTATGACTGAGGAACGTGCTCATCATGGTCATCACCTTAATTAGCCCATTCCTTCCCTGGAATCCCACAAGGCCTCTGAAGCGTGGTCCTGACATCCAAGTGCCCCAGGCCAGCAGGGTCTGAAGCTCCTCAGTGCACATCGGCCTGCAAGTCTCTGGGGTGGAGCTGTGGCCTGGACGTGGACCTTCCACCTGCCGTTGTGTGACTGTGGGTGAACCTGGTTTCCCCTCCTGTTGCTGCATCTCTGTTAGAGTAGATACCTTGTGTAAGCAGGGGCTGTAAACTATAAAGCCCTGTAAAGATGCAAAGGATCAT